AGTTTATAATTAGTTATTGGTTATTATTTTAGAATTTAATATATAGTAAAAATAGAAATAATAAAATAAAATAAAATAAAAAACTACCATATATATATATATATATATATGTATGTATGTATGTATGTATGTATGTATGTATGTATGTATATATTAATCCGTTACTTTATTTGGATTAATAAATATAGATATCTTATAATTAAATATATGTAAAAAACGAAAATAATAAAATAAAATGAAAAACTACCCATTCAAATTGGGTGGGATTAGTTTCAAGTTGGAGTTTTTAAATTGTTTTAAAATAAAAGGCAAAAAAAATAGCTATAAAAAATAAAAAAAGAGAAGAAAAACTACCCATTCAAATCGGGAAGTAGTTTCAAGTTGGAGTTTTAAAAATTATTTTAAAATAAAAAAAACGAAAATAAAGAAAGTTTCAAGTTGGAGTTTATAAATTATCTTAAAATAAAAAAGCAAAAAAAAAATTAGCTATAAAAAAATGAAAGAAAGAGAAGAAAAACTACCCATTCAAATCGGGATGTAGTTTCAAGTTGAAGTTTTTAAATAATTTTAAAATAAAAAACGAAATTAAAAAAATAATAAATTAACAATTCAAATTGGGGATTAGTTTCAAGTTGGAGTTTTAAAATTATTTTAAAATAAATAAAACGAAAATAAAGACATAAAAAACTTTCAGAGAAAAATATTTAATAAAGTAAATGCTAATAAATCTTTCTATTAACAATGCAATAATATTAAATATTAGATGATATAATAAAGAAAAATACATAACAAAAAAGTTATTCAATGCGCTCCTTGTATAAGTCCCGTTAGTTTAATAGAGATTTTGTTCATTAAAATTTAGATAATATTATTAAGAAAAATAGAATAAAATTTAAAATAAAAAAAATATTTCAACAGTAATAAAATAAATTATAAATCTTCTCATATATGACAAAAAGAAAGCAAATATTAAATATTGGTTAATATAATAAAAAATATATAGAACAAAAAATTTATTCACTAACAATATAAATACCTTTGATTTAATAGAGATTTCATTATTGGGTATATCATATTGACAAGTAAGATGACAATTGAATTTTATTAAAGCAATACAATCTAATAGGATCAAACAAGCCCTATCATAATTTAATTTAATTAATATTTTTTAATACTGACCGCGCATCGCGCGGGTACGACTACTAGTCTATATTTAAAAGGAGAAGCAAAAGAATATAGTGATGCCAAGTGGCATAATTACATTTCAACAAGTGTCATTTTTTGGCAAATATCCAATAAAGTTGGAATTTTTAAAATTTAAAATTATTTGAAACTAAAAATAGGCAGAAAATTGCTCCAAAAATAGTTCATCTTTTACTGCACTACAAAACTGCTCCTGTTTTTCTATTCCTGTTTTTAACTCTTCTATCTTTCTTTCTGTTTTTTCCTCTTTGCTTATTCTCAATTTATATTTTTGCATTATTTGAAAAATTCTTCTTCCTTTTTCTTGGCAAGAGGTTTAAATAAATATTTAAATGGACTGTAATGGATGCGAAAGAACAGACAACAATGACTATTAATGTCAAAGAGTTTGTACAATGGCTATTCTTCTTCAAAACAGTAGCTTTCCTCTTGAAACAGTCCAATAGCCTTCTAAATTCTTTTTCTGCATTTTCTCTGTAATTTCCAAGAGTGTTCAAATACAACTTCAAATAAACTGGATAGATTGAATTGTCCTCTCTGTTCCAAGGCAGACAATATTCATGAAATCTGAATTGCTTATATTTTTTTTTAAAATTCCAAGGTCTTAAACTGACTATGTTAAAATGCAAGGTTTAAAACTTAGAATGGATCAAACTCTGTTTACTCGCAAAGGTAAATCAAAATGCTGCGATTTGAACCTCACAGAACAATGCACAATTTTTTGTAAGGACTATTGTTGAAAATTTATTTGTTTCGGACAAGTTCTCTTTTATGATAAGATGTCAAATTATTAGATTCGCCGGCCTTATTAACTTTATTGATTAAGGGGGTAATTTCTTTCAACAATCTTTCTTACTTTTAATAAAAGATGACGATCTATTATAGTTTGAATGAAAATTTGTGATTATTTGATGTATAGGAGAAAAAATTGTGTCTTGTTAGCCCATACTTTAATTACAAGGTTTCAGACTTCAGAAGTTATTATTCTTACATGTTTGTTGCCACATGAACTGCATACAACATTGGTTAGACTAGCTTTCAAGAACGAGGATGTCATAGTTCCTTAAATATACTCATCTGCAAAGGCCACAAGATGTTCTGTTACACCACCTTCTCTTAGCATATGTTGAGCAGGTTAGTAAAAATTGGCTTCCATATCTTCGATAATAGTCTAATATCATGTAGTTCGGTAACTTAAGGTTTTAAAAGAAACCAAGGAGCTGAAGTATTAATGTGTTACTGATAACATAAAATTGTTATCGATGACCATGAAATAGAGCCTTATACATTTTTATTTCTTTCTCATGTAAAGGTGAAGTTTTTCCTCAGAAGTTTCCTAATTATTTTTAATGCACTACGTTGGTTTAGTTGGGATTGAGGTGTTGTTGTTACTTGTGGCTAATACAAATCCGACTTTCGGGAATTTTGACTAATAGTGGATTGCAAAACTGGTAAAATATAACTGAATTCGAAACTTTAATTATGACTTTTTTTCCTGTTGATTGCTTATGTACAAAGTTTAGCAATGAGCAAAATATAATTTTTTTCTGCGATGCTTGCAAATTTGGAGAAAAAGGGAGGGACAAAAAAAGGAGGACTTAGAGTGAAACCATGTAGTACTAAAGGTTACGTCATAGTCATACATTTGCCTGCTTTCGTGTATGATACTGTAGATACTAATGTCAATTTTTGATGGGAAAACAAAGGGAACAAACAAGCAGTATACTTCATACCTCATTTGATTGAAATATTTATCAAAGAGCTGGCTGCATTTTTTTCTATTAACTGATTACGAAACTTAATCTTTTTAGCCTTTCGGTAATTGCAGAAAACTAGATAGTGACATAAGAAACAAGCACGCGCATTTCTTTTTCACGTAAGTTTCTGTTGTTATATACGATCTTCCTTACTTAAATATTTGAATTTTCTATATATTTTTTAGCCTTCCTATCTTTTTGTATTTTGGATGGTAAATTGGAAGATATATCTTTATATACACTTTACAAACTTTTTGCTGTTTTCATCAATTTAGAAAGGATGAAAGAGAAAGAATTGAAAAAATGGAAGAACACATGTTGAATATGTTTATGTTTATCTTGATAAAAAATAATTTTTGGATCCGTTGAAACCTTAAAGATAATCACTTTCATAAAGAGAGCTTGCAACTGTCTTACATATGTATAATGTTGTTGCTAGCCTCGATCTTATCTAGAGAAGAAAAAAGAAGAGGAACTGCATGTTGAAAAATAATAATATAATTTTTCAGATATAATTCTCTACCACCTCTGCTAAGATAAAGTAATAAGTGATTCTTTTTATAAAATTATTCATTGCGTTGCAAATTTCATGTTTTCTCGCATACACCTCTTTTTCCTCTCTCTCCACGTTTTTGTTACTTTCAGAGATTTGAACTGATGTGAAGAATATGAATTCGTAAAGATAAGGGAGATGGATACATGGTGCCTTTCGAGTTTGAGAATTCCGCTAAAAGATCTGAACTTCTTAGATTAAAAAAAATTACGGTGTACCATTCCTTGACTCCATTTATATATAGCTAATTTACATATGCAATTATGAAAGGATAGGTTGTCCCAGTTGCGCTGCTAAACACTTCTCAATGGAGTTGCTACTTAAGTGCTAATTCATGTGTTCAAGAGAAACTAATGATAGGCGAGATAGCTTTCCAGAAAGAGGGAAATATCTTAACTTCATGTTCATCTAAAAATTAGATGTTTGAGAGTTTAAGAAATTATCGATAAAGCTTTTATAGTTATTAGTTTCATCTTTTTAGTTAGTTAGAAGCGAATATAAGCTAAACAACGAGGTAAATCTATATTTCAAGCTGACTTTCCCATGAGATGACTCTTCCTGGAGAATTATATATGATATTAGTTGAGTATTTCAAATATATCTCCTCAACAAAAAAATATAATTTATATATTAAAACATGATTTTTGATGTGATATTATAATTTATATATATAAATACCAATATACTACAATTACGTTCTTTTAATATTAACCGCGCATCGCGCGGGTACTATACTAGTGAACAAGAGAACGGAGGGACTAGTAGTTGAACTATAATGTAGATTAATTATACATAAATAAAAATAATAACTGAAAACGTACTTTCATCCTGTATTCTTTTTCTTTTCTTTTTAAAATTCCAAATTACCCGGAAAAAGAACAAAAACATTTTTCTTCTTTTTTTCTACATTTCACTCGGACACTGCTGCAAAATAAATCATCTCCAACCTCCCATTCTTTACTCCATAACCAACAAATTATCCCCATTTATACAAACAAAACAAACAAAAATGGAGGACAAAAATCCACCCACAAAACCTAGAGTGGTCTGTTGCATAGGCGATATCCATGGCTACATAACAAAGCTTCAAAATTTATGGTCAAATCTTGAATCTTGCATTGACCCATCTGATTTTTCCACTGCCCTTATAATTTTCTTGGGTGATTATTGTGATAGAGGTCCAGATACTCATAAAGTTTTAAACTTTTTAATTTCTTTGCCCTTAAAATACCCAAAGCAAACCCATGTTTACCTTTGTGGAAATCATGATTTTGCTTTTGGAGCATTCTTGGGTGTACTACCAAATCCAATTGATGGATCTGAATTTAAAGAAACATGGAAAGAATATGAAATGAATGAGGAAAGAGAAGGGTGGTATAAAGGTGATAACTTTGAGAATATGCATTTACAAGGGAGAAGATGGGCAGGAAATCATACTGTTAAGTTTAATACGATAAAGGGTATTGAGTATAAAGGTTCTATTTATGATGCTGCTCCTACTTTTGAATCTTATGGTGTTCCTCATGGTTCTGCTGGTATAATTCCTTAATTTCCTCTCCCCTCCTTTTTTGTGTGTGTTTGGCTTTACTTTTATTTTTATTTTATATAATAGTATTGACCTAAGATGAGTTTATATTAAGTAATGTGTTTTAGTGAGATTCATATAGCGGACATCAGCTTGTTTGGGGGATTGGGGGGACTGAGGCGTAGGGGAGGCGGAGGTAGAGTATTACATACGAGTTCGGATGAATACAATAGCTTTTACTTAGTATCCATTAAATAGGTATAAATATTTAATTTCAAATCCAATAACTAATACGAGCTATGAGTTTGGTGGCAAATGCAGAACCCATAAACCTCATATCCTGGCTCCGTCTCCGGAGGCGTAGTAGATGTTGTTGTTGTTTTGGATTTTGTCTGTGGAATGGGTTTCTAGTTCTGTGATGGACAAAAAAATTTAAAATTAGGTACGATTTTCTTATTTTACCTTCCTAGTTCCTAGCTGACAAATGGTTTATATCTTCTTCTTCTTTTTTTGTGGTCTTGTGGTATGGAAGTGTTTCATTTGATGGTTATTTTTACAATGGTAGTGATTTTGGATGATTTTTTTAGTTGGTTGTAAGTTGAGCTTTTGTACTGGTGCTTCGGGGTGGTTCCTATTATTAACAACTTGCCTTTTGTCTTGGATATGATTCACTTTATTTGTTTCCCTCATATTGTGGTTCCTAAGCTCTAATTACGCACTGGTTAACTCTACTTATGGATCCTCATATTATGGTTCCTAAACTACATAGTACTTGTTTAATCACGGATGGGGTAGGACCAATAGTATACCGGATGGTGTCCAGCGACACTTCCTATTTGCAAATGATATGGTATTAATTGACAAAATGTGACGAGGGAGTCATTTAGAAGTTGGAACTACTTAGAAGTACTATTGAGAAAAGGTTTTAGGTAAACCAAAAAGAAATGTGTGCATCCTTAGCACCATAAGAAGAACGATGGTGAGATGAGATTAGATATTTGTGGTTTATAAAAGAAGACAATTGAAAAATCTAAGCTCAATCTTCCGGGAGAATAGCTTGATAGATGATGATATGAATGACACATTGAACTAAAATAGGATGGTTGAAACGGAATGGTTTATGGAATTGTTATGTGATTGGAAGATAAGTAACAAAGTGAAAGGCTTGTGAAGATTGTAATAGCATATGGAATGTTGGTACTCTAAAACTGTAAAACCCAACACATCTACAAAGGGAATGTCGCAAAAATGCAAGTGCTAAGAAGGATATATGACCATATGAGATTGTGCAAGATCTCCAACAAGGGTGCAAGTAACACAATGATGGGCTTGCTATCGTAACTTTTTTTCCCCGCTATATATGAAAAAGAGTGACGAACTCATTTTTATTCGGTCATAGGTTGGTCCAAAGAACGAGAGTCGGCTTCCAACATTAAGTCTGTTGTTCCTCAGTACCTCAGTGGTAGAGCGGTCGGCTGTTAACCAATTGGTCAAAGGTTCGAATCCTACTTGGGAAGATTTTTTAGTTATCGCTTTTCTGACCTAGCGACCCCTGTCCTTCTCCTTTGTTTTAAACTAAATGAGAAAAATATAACCTAAGATTGTTTGACCATATTCTACATATAATTCCATATGCACCAGTCTATAGGTGCGACACTATAATAATTGAAGGTGATAAGAGGTAATGAAGTAGACCCAAAATCACATAGAGGGAAGTTGTCTCAATTGAAATTGATACAGATTCAGATAAAAATAGAATACTGTGAAAGAAGATTATCCATATAGGCATTATCAATTAGCTATATAGACTTATTGTTTTTGCACGTACATTAGGTCCAATATTTTCCGGGAGTCTTCTTATTATAGTTAGGCTTACATTCCCATGTCGAAAATAAGGGTGCGATCTAGAAACCCTCTAATTTTTGAGAACTGCTAATTTAATTTAAAAGACAAATCATCTAGTATTGGAATGAAATGAGTTTTTGTTGAGCGCCAGTGTTGTGAAGAGCGTGAAGCGAGAAAAAGCGACAACCCCCATTTTGCTTAAAGCGAGAAGCGAAGCGTTCGCTTTTTTGAAGTGAAGCGGAATTTTTAAAAAAAAATTAAAATAAATACTGCATAGACAATGCATGTAATTGTAAGCAAATGTTCAATACTTCAATGTAAAAACTAAATAGTAGCATCAATTAAAGCACAAAATGAGCATCCTATTCTTCTACAAGATTGTCAAATTCTTATATTCCACTATCATTATTATATTGCTCGTCATCTTCTTCAACTTCTTCTTCTTCATCAACTAGGGACAAAGTAGAGGTTAAAAAAAAAACTGGGCAGAGGAGAAAAAAAAACTGGGCAATTTTTTTCTTTCACTGCTAAAATTGGCATCAATTCTGAGAAAGAACCGAAGGTAAAAAAAAAAAATCGCCAGCATTTCGCTGCTTTTTGGACGTTTAAACAGTGAAAGAAAAAATTGCCCAGTTTATTGCCTAGTTTTAACATACCTGTTGTTTGAACTTGAAGTTGAAGAAGTTGATGCTTTCAGTCGATGAAGAAGAAGAAGTCGACCAGTGTCTTTAAAATCCTAGTCGCATTGCACTTAGAAGTCAACCAGTGTCTTTAAAACCCTAGTCGCATTGCATTTGTTCGTTTAATGAAAGACCCGACCTCGTTTTTAATAAAATAGGGCTGGGTCTGTTTTAAAACACAGACTCGCATCGCATCGCTTTCCCGCTTCTCGCTTTTTAGTGGGAAGCGGTCGCTTTTCTACGCCTAAGTCGCTTCAGCAGGGTGAAGCGTGCAGCTTCTCGCTTCGCTTCTCGCTTAAAGCGAGGAAGAGGGCGCTTTTTTAAACACTGTTGAGCGCAATGGTTATTTAGGATTAATATAGCTGACTCTTAAATAATTTGAGGTTACAGCGTACTTTATTGATTGATTGACTATCATAATGTGCTATCCCGGTTCTATATCAGCGGATTATCTGTATTAATTCCTTGTTGGATAACCTAGTCTGATTTGGGTGGTGATCGTTCAATTTTGCGTTCAAATTCTGTCTGGTTTCTCTTGTTTATCGGTGTAATGTGTTCTATAGTTGTTTATATCATAAAGAAATGTGTTATACAATAAGTTTCTACTTTCCCCCGCTTCGAAAATAGGTGTATAGTGTGACACGCGGCTCTTATTGAGTGGAATGCTCATTTAATATAGGCATCATTCCTTCCTTTTGCGCTCAAGATTGTCCTTTTTTTCATATGGTGTTGGGCGGACCTGAGAAGAACTTGATTGCCGATAGTCCAACCTATTGCAATATTACATAATCACATTATAATCCTTTTGTTAACGGTAAGATTTCACTCTTGACAGATCTTATGAAGGCAGTTCCTGATGAGCACAAGAAGTTTCTTGCCGATTTGGTCTGGATTCACGAAGAGGTAATTTCTTTTGCCTTCACTATTCTTTCCTTTCGAACTTTTTCTTCCCTTCAATTTTTCCGTGACCACCTTAAGTAATTCTTGATTATCTTAATTTTTGAAACACAATTTTTTTTAAAAATAGAATGCGTTCTTGATTGTCTTATCTAAAACATATGTGCTTAAGTTTTATTCACGCTTTATAACCAAACTCAAGAGTGCTCATTGATCATGTCATTACTTAGCCAACTTGCAACTGAAGCAGGATTTAAGACTTAAAATTTGTTTCGTTCTTTTGCTTTCTAGGACGATGTTTGCATAAAAACTGACGAAGGAATTAAAAGCTGCAAACTGATTGCTGTTCATGCTGGTCTGGAGAAAAACAAAGATGTTGAAGAGCAGATTAAAACCCTTAAAGCAAAGGACACAAGGATCTCTAAGGTGGAAGCCCTTAGCGGAAGGAAGAACGTATGGGAAATCCCTCAGGTAACTCGATACAGGGCTCCATTCGTCTTGTCATGATATCATGTTTATGCTTTCAAAGAAGACGCAAGTTGATTGTTGTTGCATTTTTCTGTAGGAACTGACTAGAACTCCAACAATCGTCGTAAGTGGTCACCATGGGAAATTCCATATTGAAGGTTTAAGACTGGTAATAGATGAAGGTGGTGGACTAGAAGGTAATCCAGTGGCTGCAGTAGTGCTTCCTTCAATGGAAGTTGTACGGGATACTGATCATTTGGTGAAATAGATTATCGTTTCTGTTTAAATCAGAAATAACCAAAGTAAAAATAAAAATAATAGTAGTTGACTCTGCCTCTTCCATTTTTCTTTGGCTAAAAGTTACATTTGTTGAATGTAGTGAAGAGATTTACACAATAGCCCTGTATTGAACAAACTTCAAGCCGGTAGAGAATCATATTATGTCGTAGATTCGCTACTACTTTTTGATATAATGCTTGTATACGAGAGAGTTTCCCATATTAATTAAATTATTTACTTTATAAAAAAATTCCATGTATACGCTAAAGAGATTACCTTTTCTTTTACAGTTGTTTTTTAGCTGAGGGTCTATCGGAAACAGCCTCTCTGTCCTTTCAGGGGTAGGGGTAAGGGTGCGTACATTTTACCCTACTCATGAGAAACTACTGTGTTTGTTGTTGTTTGTTTTTTGTATACGCTAAAGAGAATTAAGTTGAACTTTGTAGACAATTCTGGTGATAGGTGACTCATATTGCGTTGCGCAAAGTCATGGTTTGATGGTATGCTCTCTTCAAGCTTGATTGTGTCCAAAAGTTAAGTTAATCCCCATTTATACATGCAATTTCTGGACAAAATTAGCTCCCTTGGGGACAAAAAGCTCGTTTTAGTTATTTTTTTGCAAACTCAATTAAAAGCTCATTATGATTTATTTATTTTTCAATAACCATGATGTCCGGAAAAGTTTGTGTAAATCTTGACAAATTTCAGTATTGGTATCGAGTAACTCCGCCTTATGTTTGTGTCTCCGCTTGGTTTTAAAACTTGATACTTCATGTTTTTCTATGGCATTCTACAAGTAACCGCAAAGATACTAAAACATTTTTTTTTCTTGTCTGCGTAACTTTATTGGCCTACCAAATTCCCATACGCTACAAGCAAAAATCAAAACCAGCAATATTGTTTCGACTCGAGCTCTCGTGGGAAGAAATGTATGCTTTGCATCTTCTACCTTAGTCATTTGGGATTAGAATTGTGACCTTAGATACAAAGGTCAGTCCCATCCAAGGCACTCCTCTCTTCTTCTATGCAGCACCCCCCCCCCCCCCCTTACCATTCAACATACCCTATCCCAAACCACAAAAAACAGTTGAAGTAAAAAATGAAAAGAAATCTCATACGAAGGCCCAGGATTTCATCAAATTCCAAGTTCTAAAATACTAACAGCTCATAAACAACATCTCTACTTTAACGCGAACTGAGGCTATAGAATGTCTTCAATTGACACATAAAGGCGTGGCAAAACAGCAATGGCAATTCTTTTTCTGGCGGGGACGAAAAAAACTGCAGTACAAACAAAGCAAACAGGTACATCCATCAAAGCCAAGCCAGCTCAATGAGCTTCGCAAACTTTTCTTTGAAACATACCTGACAACGGGAGAACTGGATCGGATAGAGGCAAGGGGATCTCACCATAAGGATTTGTGTCAAGAACCGTCTAGTTGGACAAAAAAGGACTAACAATTTAAGCTCTAAAGAGCGCCCTATAAATGTTTTATTCATGTCAAATTACAACACTAACGGTTCTAAGTATACCACTATAGAAAGATAAAGCCCAGAGTAATTTGCCTGAGATAGTCATATAACAGGGGGAAAAACGATTGAATTCTCTTCTTACCAGCCCCTCCCTTGCCCCAGCTTCCCAAACAAATGGAGTGAGAGGATGTCTTCTCACAGGTTTCTATTTCTCCTCCCCGAAAACTTTGGAACATTATGTGAGCAGGGGAAATAGGAGAGCAAACAACTAGTAGCCAAGAAAGAGACTTAATCGGCCTCTGAACCAGACTCATCAGAGCTTGAACCACTGCCCTTATTGTGGGTCGAGCCATTGGCCACTGCTCCTTTACTCTTTGTTTCCTTTGTATCTTCTTCATCTTCGCTGTATTCACTTTCATAATCATCATAATCATCTTCTTCTTCTTCCTCGTCCTCCTCAATTCCATCCTCCATGGCAGGAGTCTCATCTGCTGTGAGACCACCTCTGGTCCCAGCTCTGCTGCGTTTCATTACCTTTAACTTAATATTCGACTTTGCATCACAACCAATCCAAGAGTCACATAAGCAAAAAGAGCTCAAGTTGTAGTTTCCCTCAGCTGGAGCTTGGAACTTCCCCATTACCAGCCTCGAACCATTTTTCACTTTCTCAATTGCTTCTTTAACAGCAACATTTATTTCCCTTGCACTTGCACCAGACCCTTCCTTTGACTCCTGAATCGTTTTTGATACAGCAATGATCGCAGTAGCTTCATCCATGAAGCTAACCTTCTGGGAGAGCCAGACATCATTCGAAAAGGAGTCCGCAAGCAGCAACCAGAAATTCTCTTCTTTGTCAAAAGGAAAATAAGGACAATGTGGAAGGGCACGGATCAAGCCATTACCACGGTTGAGAGTGACCCAAGCATGCATGGTAACGATGTCACCCTCTTGGATTCCCTCCTCACCTTCTGTCTCACACGTGATATCAATTGTCACTGAAGGCATCATTTTAAGAACCATCTCCACATCGTGGGATTCAGAGTTTGAGAACCCAGCAACTTGAGTCAGCAGATCTTCGCGTTCATCTGGTGTCATATCACGGAAGTCTTGAAATGTACGAACTTTCTGTACATAGAGGAAAGGGTTAAGGATATACAAAACAAAAGGCTCACTTGTCAAAGCCCATCCTAATACTTCATTAACTAAACGTGCCACACCAAAAAAAAAAAAAAAGGGAAATAGGCTGCAACATCATTACATCACAGGTAGCAAAAGAAGATGCTTCAGTATGAACAGGGAAAACATGGAAAATTAAGACTCCAGGCTTAATTTAGCCTGAAAGTGGCACAATCAATGTACATATTGACTCCTTTAATTAGGACAGTCAACAATATCCTTATGAATACGAGAGAAACACACCATCAAAGGAAAATGGTCCAAGTAATATTCAAGACGACCTTATAAATTATGATTTTCATTTTCTCATAAATGTGAATCAAGTTCACACCAATTTTCAGATTTTGCACAAGGAAATAAAAAGAAGAAGAAACTGAATAGAGATGTCACTAGACTTCCCTGTGAAAGAATGTGCTGTACAGGTAGCCAGTGTGACACACTCAAAGCAAGTGTCAAACATTAACTATTAAAAGGTGTAAATTTGTAACATGTTTAAAATTTAGACGCAAACTCAAAATTAATGAAACACCACTAGATCACAAAAACCAAGCAAAACGTTTTTCATGACATCGAGCAATTCATGAAAGTAACCACCATATAACTAATTGCATAAATCAAGTTAACATTTCAGTCATTATTGAGTAAGAGTTATTTTTTCTGATAAATACTACTTATTGAGGAGAGTTATATTTATCCCAGATAAATTTTTTTTAAATAAACCAAAGTACTACCTTACCTTTTTTTTAATCAAGAGTACTACCTTACTAACATTGTATCACTATACATACCAGAAGAGATGAGTTTAGATAAGCAGTTACCGCGGACAATCCTACGTAATGAAAATCTTATAACATCCCTGTACACTCATAGGCTGGCGTCTTTTCTTTTTAATGTTTACAGAAATTGGCTTGTCTCAACTCAACACCTCATTTTGAGCCATAGCAAGGATAGCACGGCTCGCTGGTACCAAGACCACAAAATGTGATAAATAAGCTTTATAGAGACACTTTCTCGTGTCTTTTTTTTTTGATGATCAAGTATAAATTCTAGGGGCAATTTCCTTACTCTAACTATTAAATAAAACTAAGATACAAAACCAGATAAGTAAGACACAAACTTGCCCTAACTCCACCGAGGAACCAATCAGATACATAAAAGCACGTTGTGATAACTTATTATAAGCACCAACACAGATAATTAACAACAATCTCCTCCAACATTAACAAGAAGCAGATGTGTTTAGCAAGTTTGAGAAGAGAGGAAAAGCAGTAATTGCAACCTTTCTTGCAATCTTTTTGACAACAGCCTCACTAAAGTGTGGCAGCTGCAAAAACGGTGCATACCCTTCACTGGATCCACCTGCTGCTTTCCTTGCGCTGAGAGGTACCGCCTGAATCATTGACAGCAAAATGCATCAGAAATGAGAGTAGGAAAGAAAACCAATTGTGCCTTCAATGTGGGTAAATGAATTTGAGTAGAATAATGGACCTTCTAGGTCCTAAACCCTTCAAATATGGAAGGAAACGGATACCAACTCCTAAAAAATAAGTGCTGAAAGTCCAAATTTATGCATAAAATTCATCAAAACTGAGGGGGGAAAATGGAGGTTGCCAAAACATTCATCTTAATACATGAATCTTAACAATATTTAGCAAAACAAGAATAAGCAGTGATGCTCGTACCGATGATGTATCCATGATTATATCTTCAGATAATATGATGAAAATACTTTAACTTTCAGATATAAAAGTAGAACAGACAGCAATGATGAAAGTCAAAATGCTAGAAGTTAAGGTACACAAGATGATAATGGTATTCAATAGTTATCACGAGAATAAGTTGCTTTTCTTACGTTGTGCTGGAAGAGGGGAAAACGGAGAAGAAAATGATAAGAGATACGTGATAAAGCGGGATAAGGACCGCTCCAAACAACGGATGTAAAAACTAGTGACGATCTTTCAGAAGAGTACTGACTTTCTGGAAAACCTAACCTGAACAACACTCTGAGACAGTTCCACCACTCCTATTGCAGGTCTTAGCCATCCATGCCCCACAGGAGGGCGTGGAATAATAGCCATCTGCATGCAACAAGACAAACTCCTTGCATTACCATAGCAACTCATATTATGTTAGGCAATGAAACAAACATATGGACTTGATAAGGTGAAAAGAACAGAGCACAAGAAGAATTAAAAGCTAAACATTCTTATCCCTTTGTAATATAACGCCATTGCCCCTCCTCTCTCCCATGCACAGCTCAAGAACAAACAATCAATTTGGAGGTCTCTGAACACTTCCAACAGCAATCCGCTGTTTAAATTATTTACGGGACATAATTTGGGTGTTACTTCATTTCAGCTTCATTTCCTAGACACTAATCGTTGCCATATCTTCACAATTTTTGGATGTCCTACTTTTTTGACATACTAGTACACTATTCTCCTTCCCGTCCTTCATTTTCTATCTGCCATTTTTTAGTATATGTGTTTTTTATTTTCTATTAATTATGCTTCAGATATTTGTTGACTTTTTATGGTTACTT